GTGATTTTCACTTTCTGTCTCTCTGTCTCTTTCTTTCTGGCGAGTGTGCATGCCCTGTGGCAAAAACCTCTCAAGAAAAAAAAAAAGAGTATAAAGTTTCATTTCAGGGCTATGCAAATGTTCTAAAATTAGACTGTGGTCATGGTTGCACAATTCTGTGAATAGATGAAAATTCTGTAAACTGTAGGCTTTAAATGGTAGGTGGATTATATCCCAAAAAAAGAAATAGCAAAAAAGTTTTCTCAGAAAAGACTTGGGTAGCAGAGATTATATTCCTATTTGGAAAAGAAAATCTAGTATGACTATTTGTGCCACGATGCTGACTCCTTTTTAGAGTTCATGGTGTAAAACAGTGAAGGGGAAAATCTTATTTTGTTTTTGTCCCTTTCTTCAATTATTTTTAAAGTTTATTTCTTTCATGAGGGAGACAGGTATATCCAGCAGGGTCTTCACCCTGATCCATCCCCAGCCAGCTGAGCTCACAGGCACATACAGCATAGACAAGGAAGTCTTGGGACACGAACCAAGGATCTTCTCATGGGGGTCCAGTTGCGTTAAAACTGCATCACCATCTGACCCCAAAAATATATCTAGGTTGATAAAAATATACAACTTAAATATATATTTAAGGGGCCAAGGTTTACTTATGGGACATATCCTATCAACTTGACTCTATTTTTATTACCACTTGCTTTATCATTCTGTAAGAAGCTGAGTCGAAGATAACACATTTGCAGTGTATGAGCATTCCTAGTAGTTTCTATGACCTTGAATCAAGAAAATCATTCATTTCTACTTAAAATCTGAAATTCGTCATACTTTGTAATACTTCAAATACAGAAGGGCATCTTCCTTTGAAACCACTGTTCCAACTTAGATCTATAGTGGATTTTGCCTTATTCTGACAGTTTGATTAAATTTACAGAGAGCTAAGAGGCTCATGCTGAAGAAAGGTGTCTTCAATATCTAAACCTCTACAGCAATTACTTTTACAGCAGAGTAACTGTACTTACATCAATATCTTCTTGGGTGAAAGTTTCCGGATCTTCTCCCATCATGTTGGCTAAATGTCTCTTTCCTATGTTGAACTCTTCAATCTGCTTTTTAATAAAATCCTCTGTGTAAGTTTCATGTCTTGAGGCAGCAATCTTCTTCTTCGTCATTACAGGTGTGGTGTGTCTTAGCCTTAATATCTAACAGAAAAATAAATGGAAGAAATTATTTTAAATTAAAGTGATCTTACAGATTATCATCTAAATAAAACAGGAAAGCAGTGTGTTTTTATTTATTTATTTATTTATTTATTTATTTATTTCATGAGTAAGAGAAAAACAGACAAACATCCTTAATGTCTCATGCCATGATCCCTCCTCTGGCCTTCCCAGACAGACAGGGTCCTAGATACCCCCCTGATCTTCCTATGGAGTCATCACAGCTTGGGCAGTGCTGGCACTCAGCTGACTGGAGTCAAAAACAAAGTAAAAGTTCTGTTTAGAAAGTAGTTAGAAATTGTGCCCTGCTCAAAAGATTACTTTCTTTTTTACTTTGCAAGAGGGCACATGTATTCACCGGAGAGCGAGAGAGAGAGAGAGAGAGAGAGAGAGAGCGAGAGCGAGAGAGAGGGAGGGAGGGAGGGAGGAAGAAAGTGAGAAAGCACAGCCTTTGGGGATGGTCACGCTGCAATTTCTTCTCTATTTTTCCCTCCTTGTGAAATTCTGGGCACGCATTGGGTATGTTTTTCAAGCCACCAAGTCCAGGACTTAAGCACGTAGTAAGCCACGTGGGATCCAGCCCACACTGGTCCCAAAAGCTTACTTTCAAAAGTGGTTTAAAGTACAGATGGCACCTGACTTCCAAGGGTTCAACTTCCAAATTTCTCAACTTTGGGATGATGTGAAAAAGTTTCAGAATCTGAAAATCAATTAATATAATATACCATATCAACAGAATAAAAGCCAAAACCACAAGGTCATCAAAAAGAAGAAAAAGCATTTGATAATATCAGACACCTACTCATGATAAAAATTTCAACAAGAACAATAACAATAAAAAGTCCAACAAAGCAGAAACACCCAGAGCCAACATCATAGCTAACGGTGGAAGACTTGATGCTTTCTCCTAAGATCAGGAACAAAGTGAGGATGTCCACGCTCATGACTTCTAGTCAACAATGCTGTAGGTTCTAGCCAGGGTAACTGGGCAAGAAAAAGAAATAAAAGGCCTCCAGATTAAAAAGAAGGAGGTAACATTAGTTCTATCTGGGGTGGCAATATCTTGTATACAGAAAATCCTAAGGAATCCAGAAATTATGAACATTTATAAATGAGTTCAGCAAAGTTAATATTCAAGATCTATACACAAAACATACGAAATATCCAGTTGTCCCTTAGTACTCAAGGGGGACTGATTCCAGGACCACCTTCGGATACCAAAGCCTGCAAACAATCAGGTACTTTACATGAAATGATGAAGTATTTGCATATAATCTACACACAACATCCATCCTATGTACTTTAAATCATTTCTAGATTTAAATATGCAATATAATGTAAATGCCATGTAAGTAACTGTTTTACTATACTGTTTAGGAAATAATGACAAGAAAATTCTATATATGCTCTATATAGAAGTAACCAAGTATTTATCCTGAATAGTTCTGATCTGTGGTTGGTTGAATCTATGGACAAAGAACTCATGAATATAGAGGGCTGACTACATACAAAAAATTGTGTATACTTGCAATGAATAGTCCAAAATTAAACTAAGAAAATTCTATTTATAATAGAATGTCTTAAGAAAGAAATTAAGGCTGAGGAATAAATTTAACGAAAGAAACACCAAACCTAGACTCTGAAAACTACAAAACGTCACTGAAAGCAATTAAAGATCTACAATAAAGGACACCCCATGTTCATGGATCAGAAGACTTAACACTAAGGTGGCAATACTCTCAAAAGTGAACTAGAGGTTCAGTGCAATCCTTATCAAACTCCTAGCTGGCTGCTTGCTGAAATTGACAAGCCAATCTTAAAATTTCATATGGAAATTCAGGGGACACAAAATAATCAAAATGATCACAAGAAAAAAGAACCAAGTAGGGATACTGACACTTCCTAATTTCAAAACTTACTACAAAGCTGCAGAAATCAAGACAGGGTAGCAATGACATAAGGATAAATGTATAAATCAAGGGAATAGAACTGAGAATCTTCCATCAATAGGGGTGGCAAAAGAATTCAATGGGAAAACAGTATTTTGTCTTTTTAACAAATGATACTGGAACAACAGAATATTCACATGCAAAAGGATAGATTTGGACCCCTATCTTATCATATACAAAAACTACTCCAAATGGATAGAAGATTTAATTATAAGAGCCAAACCTATAAAACTCCTAAAATCCTCATGACTTGAATAGATTCTCCGTTACATATCCAAAAGAAGTGAAAACAGGTCTGCACAAGGGTTTGTGTCCATGCTATGCATGCTCACAGCAGCATTATTCATAATAACCAATAACCCAAGTGCCCTTTGACCAATGAGTAAATTTTTAAAATGTAGTTTATCCACATAGAAAAAAATCATTCAGCAATAAAAGGGAATAAAATCCTGATACACAGCTATCACATGGATTAATCTTGAAAATAACATGCTGAGTGTATTACATGCACTTAAACCATGCCTACACAATTCCGTAATATTTATATGAAATCTCCACAGTATAAAAATCAATATAGACAAAAAGCACAAAAGTAGCTACCTCAAGCTGTGGGATGAGAGAATGGAAAGTGACAGCTAAAGAGTATTAAGTTTCAGGACCAGCAGTTGGCACAATTGCTATGTCACTGAACTCCCATGTAGTCGACCGCAGTTCAAGTCCCAGACCTAGTGGCTTAAACTCACACAGGGCGCATGTACATGCGTGTCCAAGATCCCAAGAGGAGAATGGAGGAGAAGGGATTGCGGCGTGGCCATACCCCTTAGGGGGTGATTTTCACTTTCTGTCTCTCTGTCTCTTTCTTTCTGGCGAGTGTGCATGCCCTGTGGCAAAAACCTCTCAAGAAAAAAAAAAAGAGTATAAAGTTTCATTTCAGGGCTATGCAAATGTTCTAAAATTAGACTGTGGTCATGGTTGCACAATTCTGTGAATAGATGAAAATTCTGTAAACTGTAGGCTTTAAATGGTAGGTGGATTATATCCCAAAAAAAGAAATAGCAAAAAAGTTTTCTCAGAAAAGACTTGGGTAGCAGAGATTATATTCCTATTTGGAAAAGAAAATCTAGTATGACTATTTGTGCCACGATGCTGACTCCTTTTTAGAGTTCATGGTGTAAAACAGTGAAGGGGAAAATCTTATTTTGTTTTTGTCCCTTTCTTCAATTATTTTTAAAGTTTATTTCTTTCATGAGGGAGACAGGTATATCCAGCAGGGTCTTCACCCTGATCCATCCCCAGCCAGCTGAGCTCACAGGCACATACAGCATAGACAAGGAAGTCTTGGGACACGAACCAAGGATCTTCTCATGGGGGTCCAGTTGCGTTAAAACTGCATCACCATCTGACCCCAAAAATATATCTAGGTTGATAAAAATATACAACTTAAATATATATTTAAGGGGCCAAGGTTTACTTATGGGACATATCCTATCAACTTGACTCTATTTTTATTACCACTTGCTTTATCATTCTGTAAGAAGCTGAGTCGAAGATAACACATTTGCAGTGTATGAGCATTCCTAGTAGTTTCTATGACCTTGAATCAAGAAAATCATTCATTTCTACTTAAAATCTGAAATTCGTCATACTTTGTAATACTTCAAATACAGAAGGGCATCTTCCTTTGAAACCACTGTTCCAACTTAGATCTATAGTGGATTTTGCCTTATTCTGACAGTTTGATTAAATTTACAGAGAGCTAAGAGGCTCATGCTGAAGAAAGGTGTCTTCAATATCTAAACCTCTACAGCAATTACTTTTACAGCAGAGTAACTGTACTTACATCAATATCTTCTTGGGTGAAAGTTTCCGGATCTTCTCCCATCATGTTGGCTAAATGTCTCTTTCCTATGTTGAACTCTTCAATCTGCTTTTTAATAAAATCCTCTGTGTAAGTTTCATGTCTTGAGGCAGCAATCTTCTTCTTCGTCATTACAGGTGTGGTGTGTCTTAGCCTTAATATCTAACAGAAAAATAAATGGAAGAAATTATTTTAAATTAAAGTGATCTTACAGATTATCATCTAAATAAAACAGGAAAGCAGTGTGTTTTTATTTATTTATTTATTTATTTATTTATTTATTTCATGAGTAAGAGAAAAACAGACAAACATCCTTAATGTCTCATGCCATGATCCCTCCTCTGGCCTTCCCAGACAGACAGGGTCCTAGATACCCCCCTGATCTTCCTATGGAGTCATCACAGCTTGGGCAGTGCTGGCACTCAGCTGACTGGAGTCAAAAACAAAGTAAAAGTTCTGTTTAGAAAGTAGTTAGAAATTGTGCCCTGCTCAAAAGATTACTTTCTTTTTTACTTTGCAAGAGGGCACATGTATTCACCGGAGAGCGAGAGAGAGAGAGAGAGAGAGAGAGAGAGAGCGAGAGCGAGAGAGAGGGAGGGAGGGAGGGAGGAAGAAAGTGAGAAAGCACAGCCTTTGGGGATGGTCACGCTGCAATTTCTTCTCTATTTTTCCCTCCTTGTGAAATTCTGGGCACGCATTGGGTATGTTTTTCAAGCCACCAAGTCCAGGACTTAAGCACGTAGTAAGCCACGTGGGATCCAGCCCACACTGGTCCCAAAAGCTTACTTTCAAAAGTGGTTTAAAGTACAGATGGCACCTGACTTCCAAGGGTTCAACTTCCAAATTTCTCAACTTTGGGATGATGTGAAAAAGTTTCAGAAGAAACCATACTTCAAGTATTTACACAACCATTTTGTTTTTTCACATTCAGTACACGAGATTGTCAACACTTACTATAAACTAGGCTTTTGATTAGATGATTTTTCCAAACTGTAGGCTAATGTAAGTGTTCTGAGGACGGGTAAGGTAGGCTAGGCTAAGCTATGCAGTTCAGTACATAGATGTATTGAATGCATTTTTAACTTACTGTATTTCAAATTATGGTAGGTTAACCAGGATATAATCCTTCTGTAAGTTAAAGTACTCCTGCACTAGCATTTCAACACATTACAACCCAAAACACAGGCCAACTGGTGAAATACTGCTTAATTAATTAATTAATTAACTCCCACATGGCTGACCATGGTTTGAGTCCTGGACTTGGCAGCTTGCTTTCTCACTTTCTCTCTCTCTCTGTCTCTCTAGTAAGTGCATATTCCCTATAGCAAATTAAGGAATAATAATAGGGGCCGGCAGGTGGCATAGTGGTTCAAGGTGCTGGACTCCCACATGGCTGACCAAGGTTCAAGTCCTGGACCTGATGGCTTGCTTTCTCACTTTCCCTCTGTCTGTTTCTCTGTCTCTCTCTGATCAAAGTGGAAAATAATAATAATAAATTAATTAAGTAAAATCATTCTTAAATATATAATAAAAAAGAAATAATAAATACAATTCAATAAATAATTATTTAAATTTTTTTAAGAAATGAGAAAAACACCCGGGACGTGCTACCCCCCTGTCTACTACAGACATCCACAGTTGACCCTGACTGGTCAATGTCAACAAGCTGACACACCTGACACACAGGAAATAAAGAGTAAACTGCCACTCCCTCACAAGAGGCAAATGCAGGCCAGTTGGTGGTGTGGTGGTTAGGGTGCTGAATTCCCACATGACTGAACACAGTTTGAGTCCCAGACCTGGCTTGAAAAAAATCACAACCAATAAATAGATTAATTAATTAATTAATTTTAAAAAGTCAAATGCACATGCAGCCAGAAGGTGGCAAGCAGAAAGCCCAGGAGCAAATAGGCACATGTGTACTTGGAAACAGTACCCCGAGACTGTAACTGCTCACCTTCTTTGAGGGAAAAATACAACCTAGATTTTTGTTTTTTTAACAATCTAGTTTAATGTCTTAAAATAATAGGTTTAGCTTAGCTTGAGACTTAATTCCATGGTCCTTATATTAAATTGATTCAATGAAGAAACTGCTTCACTAAACACTGAGATTTCTTATTAATTTGGCTGCACATGCTAACAGCAGAAAGAAGAGCTTTCATATCTTTGGAAAACATCGGTAATTATATCAACTTGCTGCTGCTGATCCTTCTATGCTGTGGCACCAGGAATTTCCCTCCAAGGCATTAACATTTCACCTTCAATGAAAGGTGCTGAAGAACCAGAAAAATGTTTTTAAATGACATTCAGCTGCACTCAGTAGCTAAATATAACTAAACTGATCTTTCTGTTCCTGGCTCTTCTTAAGACCTTACTCTGCAGTTCTCAATCTTCCTTCCTGGCCTGACAATTCTAAGCACTCTTTTTCTAGAGACTTTTATCTCTTTTTGTGGGAAATGTTTGCTATGGGGTGTATGCGCTCACTGGAGATATAGAGAGACAGAAAGTGAGAACTCAGCCTCCCTGGGGGACGGACGGCCATGCTGCAACCCCTTCTCCATTGTCTTCTCGGGATCCTGGGCACACACGGTTTTAAGTCACTGAGTCTGAGACTTGAACCGCAGTTGACTATGTGGGAGTCCAGGGACGTAACCATTACACCATCTGCTGGTCCCTCTAAGCATTCTTTTTTTTGGAGAGGTTTTTGCTATAGGGCGCGTGCACTCACCAGACAGAGAGAACAGAGAGACAGAAAGCGAGAAATCACCCCCCAGGGGGGATGGCCACGCTGCAATCCCTTCTCCTCCATTCTCCTCTTGGGATCTTGGGCACGCACGCACACGCGCCCGGCGTGAGTTTAAGCCACTGTGGTCCGGGACACGAACCGTTCAACTACGTGTGAGTCCAGCGACATAGCCATTACACTAACTGCTGGTCCCCCTCTAAGCACTCTTAGAGCAGCATTCAGACATTAAAGTTACCATCCAGGTAACCCCTTCATTTCAACTTTCATTAAAAAAATCAATTTCACACATACATCGTCCACCAACAACATTTCTCCTCCGTCCATCCCCTTCCCCTCTGAGAATCCTAACTTCAGATGGTTCTACAGTAATTTGTCACAATATACCTGAAACAGAAAAATATAAGAAATACAGGGCAAATATTACAGTAGACAGCTAATGGTGAAAATGATATTCTTAAATGCTTCCCACTTCAGACAGTAAAAATTAAATAAATAAATAAATAGCGTTCCCCTACTCTTTAATGAGTAGGAAAGCGCCATTTAAAACTCCCTGAAATTGGCCCTGAGCCTGGGACAGCCCAGAGGGCGACGGGTATGGGAACCAGATTCCACATGACTTACTATGATTAAAGTCCCAGTCCTGGCAGCTTGAAAAACATGTAACATGTGTGTTCAGACATGCTCCAGATCCTGACAGAAGGGAAGAATGGAGGAAAAGGGACTGGGTATGACTATACCCCACCGGGGTGTGCTTTTTCTACCTACCCCACCCTGTGAGCACATGTGCCCTCTGTTAATTAAAAATAAAATTTCCTAGACCAGCAGATGGCGTAATGGTGACCTCACCGGACTCCCACGTAATCTACCACAGTTCAAGTCCCAGAAACTCATGCTGAGCACATGTGCGTGGCGTGCCCAAGATCCCGAGAGGAGAATGGAGAAGGGATTGCAATGTGGCCATCCCTCCTGGGGGGTGATTTCTTGCAGTCTCTCTGTCTCTCCGGTGAGTGCACACACCATATGGGAAAAATCTCTCTCTAAAAAACAATGAAATAAATTAAATAGAATTCCCTGAAATGTAACACTTTATTTCACTTTATTTTTCCTCAGGTGAGCACAGACGAATTTCTCTTTTTTGAATATATCATTATTTAAAAATTACATTTTTTGTTTATAAGGTTCTGTCTTTACAGGGCATTACTAACAATGGGCAAAAACACGGCCACATTTTGCCAAACAGTAGTTAGCCTGGGGACAGCAGGTGGCATGTTAGTTAAGGCACTGGATTCCCACATGGCTGGCTGACCATGGTTCAAGTCCTGGACCCAGGCAGCATGAAAATCCTAACAAATAAATAGATAAATAAATATTTAAAAAGAGAGAGGGGACCAGCAGTTGGCATAATGGCTATGTCGCTGGAATCCCATACAGTTGACCACGGTTCTAGTCCTGGACCAGTGGCTTAAACTCACGCAGGGCGCGTGTGTGTGCGTGCCCAAGATCCCGAGAGGAGAATGGAGGAGAAAGGATTGTGGCATGGCCATCCCCCCTGGGAGGTGATTTCTCACTTTCTGTCTCTCTGTCTCTCTCTTTCAGGTGAACACGCACCTATAGCAAAAACCTCTCCCCCCCAAAAAAAAGTGTATTGAGAGAGGTACCTCTCCCCCCCCAAAAAAAAGTTTATTGAGAGAGGATAGCCTGCTCTGTGTACACACAGTCCACCTTTACACCCTGCTGACTGCCCACAGCCAAAGGCCACCAGCACCAGCTTCCACACTTACAGCCTCACCATCTCATGTGTTATCGTTTTCCAGGAGTTTTTGGGGTTTACGATTCCACATCCTCTTTGAGCAAGGGAAATGTTGCCTCCCACATTCAAGCAGAGAGAAAAATGCCTGTGTGCCCCAAGAATCACAGCAAAGGCAAGGACGCGGGGTCAAGGGGCAGCAGTCACACAGTGGAGGCAATGCTCTCAAATGTTCCAGTGATGACAGGACGGTTCCACTGCTATGCTGTAATAGGACAACATGTCGGTCCACCCCAAAAATGATACTCTAGTGATAGGTGGACCCAGAACTCAAACAAAATCCAGAAGGTATTCTAGTTTACCACCATGACACTTCCCACTGAGTACCAACCACAGCCCTCAGGAAGAGAAACGAGCTTCCCAGTGAATATGCTCATTCCCCAAAGGGAGGAATTCCAGTGGAAGGGCAGGGTGGGTTCGGTTTGGGGAATGATGACTTTAATGAGATGGACATCCCGGGAGGCAGACGGCTCTGCTGCTGTGTGCACAGGACAGACCTAGCTACAGACAATGGTGTGTTAGTAAGTCACGAGCCAGGGTGCTGATGCCATCAGAGTAGGAGAAATGGCCGCACGAGTGTTAGTGGGAGTAGATCTCTCCTGACATGTG